GTCAGGCCCAGATGATGGTCATGCAACAGCAGCACCTCCAGCGTATGCAAATGCAGCAACAGTCTGGCCAGGTACAGCAACCGGGACAAGGGCAACAACTGGGGCAAGGACAATCCCCCCTCCAGCCCCCAGTCGCTTCCTCATCCCAAGCTACAGAGCCCCAATCAAGTGCTCAAGCCCCTCCACCTGCCATGAACCATCACTCCCCATCCGTCTCATCTGCTGCCTCTCATCGTAAGTTGTCCCACACCCTTCGCCTTTCCTCCTCCTCCTCCTCCCTCCACCCCGCTCACCGCTCTTTCCTCACCCGTCATCCCCTCGTAGAACAAAGCCCCTCTCCCGGCCCCACCACCCCCTCTTCTCCCTTCCCCAATGCCAATCTCGCCACCCTTCGTAATCAGATTCAGGCCTTCAAGCTTCTCTACCGTGGTCTTCCTGTCCCTGCCGAGATGCAGCAGGCCATCTTTGGTCAACAACAGCAACAATTGCAGCAACAGCAGCAACAGCAGCAACAACAACAGGGTATCCCTTTCTCCCCTCAAGGATCTGCACCCAACTCAGAGTCGATCGGACCTTCCTCGGCCCCCGTCTCTTCCATCCAGCCTGGATCCTTTGGACAGATCCCTGCAGTAGCTGCTAGGATTTCTCAGGCTGCTGCTCAGATCCCTCTCCTCCACGCCCAAACCCATCCCTCCTCCGCACCTTCTAGCTCCATGGTTAATGGTCATGCTCCCCTCGCCGCAGCACAGCCTCCTTCTTCCACTCCTGCAACAAGTGCCCCTTCAGCGTTGACCCCCGCTCCACTAAACCCCCATGGCCTACCCAATGGGATGGGGACAACACCCTCTCCTGCCCCCACTCATCCCGCTCCTTCCCAGTCGACTCCTGCCTCGGCCCCCCGTGCCGCAGTCCCCGCCGACCCTCATGACCCATCCTCGTACGGTTCATACCTTTCCCCCTACGCCTATATCCTGGCTGCCACCGCCCCTGGCTTTCCTCAAGCCTCCCGTCGCCAACGTCTCCTCATCCCCGGTCTCTTGCCCATTGGCCTTGACCCGTATGAGATGCGTGCAGAAAGGGAAAGGCGTATTCGTGCTCGTATTACCGCAAGGACTACCGAACTTAAGGATCTCCCTGCTAACCTAGGCCCTGAGGGCAAGATGCGAGCGGTCGTTGAGCTCAAGGGCCTAGGGCTCCTGGAGCGTCAACGACGTCTACGTGCCGAACTGGGTCGGGGCATGCGTCGTGCCACCACTCTCCTCACCGCGGCTGACCGTCACGGGAGCCGTCGTCCCAAGCGCGCGGCCTTACGGGAGGCCCGCGTCACTGAGCGCCTGGAACGCCAACAACGCGCTGAACGGGAGAGGAGGAGGAAGGCTAGGGCTGCTGCCCACCTCGAAACCCTCCTGCAGCATGGTCGTGAGCTCCGGGAATGGTCCAGGTCCCATGCTCAACGGGGTATGCGCCTCGGTCGATCCGTTCTACAGTACCATGGTACCGCCGAACGGGAGGAGGCCCGTGCTCGTGAACGTATGGCCCGTGCCCGTATCCGTGCCCTGCAAAGTAATGATGAAGAGGCCTACAAGCGTCTCTTGGTTGAGAGTAAAGACTCCCGTCTCCAGGATCTTCTTTCTCAGACCGATCGTTTCCTTTCCGAGCTAGCTGGCGCCGTCCAGGAGCAGCAAAGGTCGGATGGGCCCGAGGTTCAAGCGGCCGCTTTCCATACTGATACTGAGTCACCAGGTAAGAAGGGGATGGAAAGAGGACACACGTTGGTCCATTCATATAAATTCACACACATCTTCCCATCTCCCCCCTCCCCCTTCCAGACGAAATCTCTCCGACCAACGATGGAGGCATCTCGGCTCAGAATGCCATCACAGGACAAGATGGTGGGGAGGTGGATTATTATGGCGTGGCCCATCGTATCCGGGAAAAGGTCACTGAGCAATCTTCCCTTCTGGTCGGGGGTAAGCTCAAAGATTACCAGGTCAAGGGTTTGGAGTGGATGGTCTCCCTGTACAATAACCGTCTCAACGGTATCCTCGCCGATGAGATGGGCTTGGGTAAGACCATTCAGACCATCTCCCTCATCACTTTCCTTATTGAGCACAAACGTCAAAACGGCCCTTTCCTCGTCATCGTTCCTCTCTCTACCATCACCAACTGGACCCTGGAGTTTGAAAAGTGGGCCCCGGCCGTTGCCACTATCGTCTACAAGGGTACTCCAGGTCAGCGCCGGGATATCCAGCAGACTCGTCTGAGGCACGGGTCCTTCCAGGTCCTTCTCACCACCTACGAGTACATTCTCAAGGATAGGCCTCTTTTGTGCAAGTACAAATGGGTTCACATGATCATCGATGAGGGCCATCGGATGAAAAATGCCTCCTCCAAGCTCTCAAGCACCTTGCAGAAGTACTACCACACCCGGTACCGTCTCATCCTTACCGGTACCCCGTTGCAAAACAACCTTCCAGAACTTTGGGCCCTCCTCAATTTTGTCCTACCCCGTGTCTTCAAATCCGCCAAGTCTTTTGATGAGTGGTTTGCCGAGCCCATGGCCGCTGCCGGGGCTGGGGATGAGCAGAGAGTCGAGCTTAAGGAAGAGGAGCAACTTCTCATCATCCAACGTCTCCACAAGGTCCTTCGGCCCTTCCTCCTTCGTCGGCTCAAGAAGGATGTGGAGTCCGAGTTGCCCGATAAGGTAGAGACCGTGGTTCGGTGTGGCATGTCCGCCCTTCAAGCTGCCCTGTACCGTTAGATGAAGCTCTCGGGCCAGCTATTCCCCGGGAGCGCTCTTCAGGAGGGTCGGGCCAAAGTCCGTGGTATGAACAACACCATTATGCAACTCCGTAAGATCTGTAATCATCCATTTGTCTTCCAAGAGGTCGAGGACATCATCAACCCTGGCCATCGGACCAATGAGATGGTATGGAGGGCCTCGGGCAAATTTGAGCTCCTAGACCGTATGCTTCCCAAGTTTTTCTCCTCGAACCACAAGGTCCTCATGTTCTTCCAGATGACTAGGATCATGGATATCATGGAGGATTACATGCTTTCCAAGGGCTGGGGCTATCTTCGACTCGATGGTACCACCAAGAGTGATGATCGTACTGCCATGCTCGGGGCTTTTAATGCTCCCGACTCCCCCTACCAGTGCTTCTTGCTCAGCACCCGTGCTGGTGGTCTCGGGCTCAACCTTCAGACTGCCGATACCGTTGTTATTTTCGATTCCGATTGGAATCCCCATCAAGATCTCCAGGCCCAGGATCGAGCCCATCGTATTGGTCAGACCAAGGAAGTCCGTATTTATCGGCTGATTACGGAGGGAAGCGTGGAGGAGCAAATCCTGGCCCGAGCCCATGATAAGCTGGACATGGATGGGAAGGTCATTCAGGCCGGTAAATTCGACAACAAGACCTCCGCCGAAGAACGTGAGGCCTTCCTTCGGGCCTTGCTCAATGATACAGCCGGTGGCTTCCCCTCCCTCAACAAATCTTCGGACAAGGGCAAGGGGGCTGATGGATCCGGGAAGGGGAGTGAGGCCGAGGGGGAGGACATGTTTGAGGCGGTCATGCCCGATGATGAGCTTGTGGAGATTTGCGCCAGGTCCGATGAGGAAAGGATTGTCTTTACCCGGTCCGACCGGGAACGCGAGGAACTTCGGAGTGAGGCGTGGCATCTGGCGCACCGGGGTGAGGTGGGTGGGCCTCCTAGACGGCTGATGCAGGCCGATGAAATTCCCGATTGGATGCTCAAATTTGACGAGGAGGAGGAGGAGAATGGTGAAGGGGAAGGGGAGGAGAGTATTGGGGATGACGGGACCGTCAAGGTTGGGAGAGGGTCGTCCAAGTATGGCCGGGGACGTCGAGAACGTCAGACGGTCCATTATGACGATGGTCTCACCGAGGAGCAGTACCTAGACGCCATTGAGGCTGGTGAAGATCCCATGGAAGTCATGGAGGCCCGAGCTGAGGCTAAACGGCGAAGGGCTGAGGCCAAACGACTTCGGGAAATGGCCGAAGTGGATGATGCTGAGGCTGTCGAGGAGGAGGAAGAAGAGGACGAAGGGGGTGAAAGCGAGGATAAGGAAAGAGGAAGAGAAAAGAGTGAAGAGGAGGATGAGGATGGAAGCATTCGGCAGGGCGGGAAACGAAGGAATCTCCCAGTCAAGGGGAGTGTTAAGCGTCCCTCCTCTTCCATTCATTTCCAGGATGGAGATGGCCATCTTCCACCCCAACAAGTCAAGGTGGAGACACATGATGGACCTCACCGGGACTCGGAAGACCTATCTAGCGGCTCAGGGCGGAAAGCGGGTCGTGTGGGCGGGAAGCGCTCTCGTGGAGGAGGCGGAGGGAGTAAAAAGCGCCGGACCCAGGCTCCACCACCCCCGCCAGCTCCTTTGCCCCGATCCACCCCGGCACCACCTCTAGATGGGCAGCCTCTAGGGGATGAAATTGTGGAGGAGATCCTGGAGGCCGTGGAGGCCGATATGGACCCTCGGTACAATCCTCCCCTGCCTAGGTGCACTCTCTTCCTCGAATTGCCCTCCCGGCAGGATTACCCCGATTACTACGATGTCATTCAACGACCCGTTTCCCTAGAGGAGATCCGGGACCGGGCCAAGGCCGGAGTATACCATGACGATGGAGGTCTCCTTCAAAAGGACTTTGCCACGATGTGGGCCAATGCTCGGCAGTACAATGTGGAGGGGAGTGAGGTATGTGAGAATGCCACGATCCTTGAGGGCATTGTCCATGGCCTTCTAACCAAGTGGGTCGCCTCACAAGGCGAGGAGGAGGGCCCCTCCAGTGAGGGATTGTAGAGTGTTCATCTTTCCTCGTGAGTGTGAATGAGATGGGGTGTGGACAGACGGGAAAAAGGATGAATAAGAAAAGTTCATTGGTTTCTTTGAGACACATTACGTTTCCACCACCTGTGCCTTTCTACAACCCCCCCCCCTTCTTCGCCTCATACTCAAAGAAAAAAATACAAAAGGATGAGGGATACGTGATTTGAACACGCAACCTTTCGATCTGGAGTCGAACGCGCTACCGTTGCGCCAATCCCCCACAACCACTGAGCTAATCAGTGTGACGCTCCTGTTTATTTGGAGTATACTATTGACATGACGTATCAGTCGGTTAGGACAAAAGCGCATCCATTTCCTGTCTTTCCCACCCTTCTCCTCTCAGTAATTTCTTCCATATTCTCTAGCCATAATGTATGGTTTTCTAAATAAACAGACATCAGCTTTTGCAAAAGAAAGATCGCGTCCCTTTCCTTCCCCTCGATGATCAGCGCAGTCTGAAGTATATGGCCCCCGTTTCTCCCCAGGGGCATGTCCAAGACAACCAGGCGACCATTTACGTCATCTTCAATTCCATCCCATTTATTCCTGTGTACGAGGTTAACAGAACCATCTTTTACATCAAGGACACTTTAGACATCAAAGGGGCCATTCCTCATGATATACTCACGGGTCTTAGGTATGTCCAGAACCATCAGCATCAAAGGTGTTGATACGACTGTCATGAAGGATCCAGTTGTACACATCGAGGCTAATAACGGCTGTGTAGGAGACAAAGTTGCTTAGCTTGAGGGTAGTGGTAATGGTGTTGGCGTTGGGATTATCCAGAGCATCGTTCGCTTTGGCAATCGCTTGCTTGAATTCGGCGTCAAAGGCGTTAAAGTTATTCTCGGGATTTTTGATGGAGAAGAGGTAGGTAGAGGAAGATCCAGCAGCCGGAGGGGGTGGGGGATTAGTGAAGGTAGATGTGGGAGAGGAGGGGTCCTCAGTAGCGGAGGGATCTACGCTGGTAGGAGCAGCGGTTACGGTGATTGTCTTGGTTCTGGTGACGGGTGCCGGGGTGACTGTCTTGGTAACCGTTTTAGTCTTGGTCGTGGTAATAGGAGGAAGGGTAATGGTAGGTCCCTGGGTAACGGTGTAACTCTCGGTCTGGGTGACAGGAGGAGCGGTGACACTCACAGTAGTCGTCTGCGTCACGGTTTCGGGGTAGTACCAGCCGTATCCAGCATAGACAGGATTGATGGAGAGAGCAATGGCGGCCAAGGCCGAGAGAGTAATGGTAAAGGAGCGCATAATGGGCGGATATGGGGATTATCAAAGGGGAAAGGGTGAATTGAATGATTAAAGGGATCAAGGGAAGAGACTAGACAGAGGTAGGATAGGTGAGTAGGATGGATGGGAGGAGGAGGGATACTGGTGAGGAGGCTGGACCGATGGGCCTTTTATGCCTCTTCCCCACTTTACTGATATGATAAACGGAGTATGACTTGGACGGCTGGTCGTTTTTCCCAGACCCTGGTTTAACGAAGGCGAGAGCGCGTGAGATACTCCATGCAAGAAGCACATGAGCAGTTCCAAGCGACATCGCTATTGGTGGAGAAGGCGATGTGGGCGGAGTATTTGCTAGACAATGGGAAAAGCGGAGCCAGAAAACACAGAAATATATACATAATGCGATATGACCTCTAGCAAATACTCGAATCAACGACTAGGATGGTGCTCCGGGGAGAACGCGACCAAAGAAAATACAATGGGAGTCGATGGCTTTTAGAAGGCCGCTTTTAAAGCGCGACGAGGAAGATGCGAAAAAGGTTTGAGATACACTTGGACCAATAAACCCCTAAAAGTATGGTGTGCATAGGGTCTTTAATCCGCATATGCCGTCCAAAAACGTAAGGCCTATCAGCATGTTCCGTTGTTATTATTAACGACTCCATTCAGGATGATGCTTATGCGGAATTCATATGATAACATAATTGATATGGGGATGGCTATCGTCTCTGTTCTCACGACAAACTCAATCCATGGACCGATTCAATGGCGTGCGGAACCATTCAGGTCATTGGGATGAATATCGCAATGCCAGATTCATGCTTTTACCTAGCGCATAATGCAGCCCTAAACGACTGTACCAATGAATTTTGGATCAGGTTTGAAGCCATATGACCGTCCTAGCCATGCCGAGGACAATGCACGAAAAGTAATCTATCCGTTCTGACTATCCAAATGTCTCCTTTAAAGAGAGGGAAACAGTGGTTTATTTAAATAAATAAATCGCGCCCAACCTACTCAACGGCGTAGACAAAGAGATAATAACTGATATCCATCAGCCACAAATATGTACTTCGTTCCTTTCCGTGCCTATTGTACTAATACACATGCTACCATTTGGTACGATGTAGCTAAGTCAACCCGTTGAAAGTCAGAGTCTTTCTCCGTCATCCCACCACTTCTACTTATACCACACTCTGGGCCTTCCCTCTTCTATTACACCTGGGCACGAGATTCCTTCTTTTTCGTGTTTAGAGCGTGTCACTATCGGCTGGAGAGGTTATTGCGGATGTTCCTCTTAAAACCACTCCATGAAGGAGTGGTAAGGGTGGATGAGCTTTGGAATCTCTGTCCAGACGAAGCCAATTTATTTTTAGAAATGGAATGCTTCTCTCTATGGATTTATAATGAAAACGTACAAGGAAGCTGAGTTGAATTATGTGGCCTATCCGTCTCAGCAACTCACTATACCCATTCGCTCCATGTGACGCCAATGTAGTTTACCCTTCATTAAATCGTCCAATCCTCCCGATTATAGAAAGTTCTGGCCTACCGCTATACAGAAGAACCAATTCTTTTCGGTCTCACAATACGCCTTTCCCTTCTTCTTTCTGCAAGGTTGAAATGGCATCGATCAGCTCAAGGAAGTAGCCCAAGGAATAACTATCGAGTAGTCCAACAAAGTATCGCTTTATCTTTATCCCCAAATGATCGACATATCTTGATTTTACTGGTCCAAGGACCAGGGATAGCCAATAGTACCTGGAGAGCACTCCACCGGTTTATCACCTCCCAATATCCTTGGATACACCGCTTATTAGAGTAATGCACTCTCTAGTAATCTAAGCGCTCTCGTTCAATACTAGCCCCACTTTGACCGCCATTCCTTCCATTCTTCAGAGACACATTGCCCCAAACGTTTGGCTCCGGTGGATATATTCCCTCACAGTGCCCTTATGCGTGATTATATGGACATCCTCAAGTCTGAGTGGCCTAGGAGAAACGATCTCATTTTCCATTCTAATGGGCTACAGTACGAATTGTTAGCTTTAGTATCAGTATTCTCAATGAGCATGATACCATGGTTTATGACAAATGATTTATGAATAATACTTTCATTATACATTTTCAAATAAAACAAATAAAACATTACATGCTTCGCTATTGTCATGTCAATTGAACCGTCTATCTGTTAATAGTGCCATGGCGACCTTATTACATCTCATGCTTTAAGCCATATTGATACAGCATTCTGGTATACTCCCTACCATACTACGTCAAGTCCTGTGCTAGTTGTTTAAATAGATCTTTTGGGGCTCTACCATAACCATTCCTTCTTTTTCCTCAGTTCAACAAGATAGTATGAGAAATGTTCATTGAGAAAAAAAAGGCCTGAGCAAGTTCATTCACTTTCTTCCTCTTCCTCTAACCTCTCCCCTACTCCGCCTAGAGAAAGCAGTAGCAGAAATGATCATGCACATCAACTGAGCATCAAGGATCATGAGGTAGAGATGACCCATTCATCAGCCTTGGTCTTGAGTCTTCGATTACGGATGATCAGGAAGGCGGTAAAGGCAATCAATGCCACTCCAGCCACACCCACACTTGCACCAATAACAAGACCCAGCTGCTGAGGAGAATAGGCTGAAGCATCGTTGGTAGGGGTAGAGTCTGCCATTGTCTCAGCCATGGACACAGCCGTCGAGGCTGGAGTAGTTGTGGATGTAGGGAAATAGGGGACCGGGGGGGAAGGGGAGGAGGAGGAGGGGACGAGGGCGTTCGCAAGGACACTAGGAGATGGTTCGACGAAAGACTGTTCCATAGTAATTGAAGGAGGGGTCAAAAGAGGATGCGAGAGGGAGGAGGAGGAGACAGGATGTACAGTCAGGTACACACGTAGAGGTCAAGTGCAATGGTGGGGAAGTGAACGCAGCAGAGTAAGGAAAATACTCGAGTGGGCTAGGGAAGAGAAGGATGAGGAAAGGCGCCGGCGCCAAGGGGTTTGCAAGACGGGAGAGGGGATGGAAGGTTAGATGAGGTAGAGTAGGTTCAGGATGGAGTAAAGAGAGTGATGAACAAGAAGAGAAGCTGGTTCGGTCCTTGTGCAAGGCTTGGTTTCAACCTCATTTATATGAGAGGGAAGAATGCTTGTTTTCGAGAGGCGGAGTCTTGCCAAGAAGGGTGCAGGAGGGATCGACTGCCACCCAATTCCCCAACTCCTCCTTGGCCGAGCGTGTGTAAGGGACCCTTTTCGCTATTCTATAGTGGCTGTATGCGTGTGTGAGAGGATGGGTCTATGAGAGTATGTACAGAATGTGCCTAAGGCTGGACGGGGCCCCAATTTTTCCGAGGTATGTCTCTCCACACCGGATATTGGATGTAGATAGGTGGGAAGAGGGAAGGGCTTAAGGCTTGATTACACTATGAATGGACAGGGGGACTCTCTGAATACATTACTTGATCATGAATGAACATGTTATTATTTACCTTTGGGATGATCTATTCTTGGTAAATTCTGGCTGCAAAAGAGAGGAGAATGAATGATTTTGGGTCTAAATCTAGATTTGCTAGTTAGACAGCCTAAATGCTGCATCAGTGCATACTGAGTGAATGAACAAATCCAAGATGACACAATGTGAGAGGGAGAGTGTGGTCATAGTAAACCAAGGCATTTCCTCATGCAGCACTTTGCTTCATGCATGATGCGGATGGCATCTAATCAGCCCTAGATGCAAGGGGCTGTGGGTTCCTTTCGAATGAGACCTAGGATAGCATAAGATAAAAAGCTCACCTTTCTCTCATCACCTGCTGACATTCCCTGATGTTTGAACGCCGCAGTTAGGCGGACATCCCCACAGCTCCCACACTGCCCATAGAAGAAAGAGGTATATAATGTATTGCAATCTGGCACAGTGGCCCACCGGAATCACCCCATTTTTGGGGAATCCACAGCGTGGACCATATCACAAACACACACCGAGGAGGAGGTCAGAGTCAGGGAAAAAAGGCCCATAGAGAGCGCCAGTATCTTGAGGAGCCGGGAGAAGAAAGGTCCAAGGATGGAAGTTAAAGGAATGTAGGGAAATACTTGGAGACAAGCATTGTTGAAAAAACTGCAGGAATTGAACCTGCGACCTCTCGGCCATCATCTCAGCGCCCCACTGACTGAGCTATTTTGCCAACCACACACTGCCCATAGAGCATTGGTCTAGAATTTAGATCACCTTTTCCAGCGATTGGTCAAAATTTAAAACCACAATTCTCCCTCTCTCGCCCACACACAACGTCCCTTATACCCGTCTCACATTGTGTGTTGATAGCCCTGTTCTTCTCCCCTCTAGAATATACTACCAATAAGTCTTACACACACAGACACACACATACACACACAGACTCAAAAGCCCTCTAAACTCAGAAAGAGTCCAATCCAAAAAGAAAAAGAAAAAGGGTCAAACATAGTGATTTTTCAACCTCACGCACATACACACACATCCCAGGCGCTACCAATAGCATCATCTACATCTGGGGAGATTAGATATCTTTGGGTACTTTTTACCACTTTTTTTTCGTCCGTTAGCCACTCACGGTTTGCTCACATGGGGAGATGGGGCAAGGGTCCCTCCCCCCCATATGGTCACAAATCCTTACCAATCCGGAGAAGCCCATCTTCCCCTCCCCTCTCTAGCTCTGGGACAGATGAGCGAGGGTGTGGGTACGATAGTACTGCGGTGAAGTAGAGGGATGAGGATTGTCAGTCACAAAGTCGCGATGAAGATGAAGCAGATGATAATGAGGAGAATGAGGGGACACCTGTCCTCTCTTAGCGCGGTGTAGGGGTGAAGACAACCAGTACCCAAAACGACCTTTCACCCTCTGGGGAAGGAGCAAAGGTTTTAAGAGCCCGAAACCTCCACTTCCTCGCTTTCTTGCCCATCTTTGCTCCCATCCTCACCTCCCTTCATCTCTGCTCTTCCAGACTAACCTCTTCTTTTTTTTCCCGGACCCTGTACCGTTTTCTCTCTGGTTCTCATCCAGTCACTCTTGCTTCTTTTCCTCCTTCCTTAGCGTTTCCCCTCCCAGCCATCATGTCGTCCGCCCCCCTCCAGACCAACGGCCATCAGGCCCCTTCTCAGAAGAGGAACCCCTACGCAGGCAACCTATCGGACTACCTGTCACGTACCTCCAATTTTGCCATTATTGAGTCGACCCTGCGTGAGGGCGAGCAATTCGCCAACGCCTTCTTCGATACCGCCAAGAAGGTTGAGATCGCCAAGGCTCTCGACGACTTTGGCGTCGACTACATTGAGATTACTTCCCCAGCTGCGTCTGAGAACTCCCGGCAGGATTGCGCCACCATCGCCGGCCTAGGCCTTAAGGCCAAGATCCTCACCCACGTCCGGTGCCACATGGATGATGCCCGTATCGCCGTTGAGACCGGAGTCGATGGGCTTGACGTCGTCATTGGCACCTCCTCCTACCTTCGTGAGTTCTCCCATGGCAAGGACATGGACTACATCACTAAGCAGGCCACTGAGGTCATCAACTACATCAAGTCCACCGGGCTCGAGGTTCGTTTCTCCAGCGAGGATTCCTTCCGGTCCGAACTCGTCGACCTCCTCAACCTCTACAGGCACGTCGATCAATTAGGTGTGAACCGCGTTGGTATCGCTGACACCGTCGGGTGCGCCTCCCCCCGCCAGGTCTACGAGTTGGTCCGTACCCTCCGCGGTGTCGTGTCCTGCGACATTGAGTGCCACTTCCACAACGATACTGGCTGTGCCATCGCCAATGCCTACGCCGCCCTCGAGGCCGGTGCTACCCACATTGACACCTCCGTCCTCGGTATCGGTGAGCGTAATGGCATTACCCCCCTCGGAGGTCTCATGGCCCGCATGTACGCTGCTGATCAGGAGTACGTCAAGGGCAAGTACAACCTTCCAGGACTTCGCGATCTTGAGAACCTGGTGGCTGAAGCCGTCGACATCCAGGTTCCCTTTAACAATTACATCACCGGCTACTGCGCCTTCACCCACAAGGCCGGAATCCATGCCAAGGCCATCCTAAACAACCCCTCGACCTACGAGATCCTCAAGCCTGAGGACTTTGGCATGACCCGGTATGTCTCCATCGGTCACCGGCTCACCGGTTGGAACGCTGTCAAGAGTCGCTGTGAACAGCTCGGTCTCGAGCTCACCGATGCCGAGGTCAAGCAGGTCACCCAGCGCATCAAGGAGGCTGCTGATCAGGGCCCTCAGGGTATTGATGCCGTCGACCGGCTCCTCCGGGACTTTCATCGCCACATCATCGCCTCCCGCGCCGGATCACCCAACTCTGCTGCGTCTTCCTAAGGAAAAGGGAAACAAGAAGAAGATGGGATGGCGTGGAATGGTGATACTGTTACTGATGGAAAGAGTGAATGATCTCTGTTTATCTCTGCTGCTGTGTTATCGAACTACTGTTATATTTCTGAACATACCGAAAAAAGGTACGAGTTTTAAAACGATAAAATGGGGATAAAAGAAGACATTCTCCCTCCCCTATTCCCTGATAAAGGGGCTTCCAGAGGTTTTAGATCGGATTCGCGTTACCTCCAGGACATGGTAGATTGTACCATCAGGCAAATCATAAGGGTTGGTTGACGCATCCTGTATTGGTAAAATGAGAGGGGGAGAGAGGGGTAATCGTTAGAGTTCGATGAAGCAGAGCATGTCGTGATCGTCCGTCACAAGTTCCTTACTGATGCATCAACTCGGCGTTGCTGCTTCACGTCAATCCTTCCAAGTAACCACTCTCGCTTCCTATAGGGGGTGATCCTCAACGGGAATATGAGCGTAAGGATGATACAAATGGTCCTAAATTAGTCATACACGTACCGTGTACATCTCTCCAGGGATTCGTTCATATGGAGAAAGTAATGAGGAGCGTCCATATGAAAGGCCGACCAGATCTTGGGTTGCCGCGTTCGGAGGAATAGCGCTACATCTCCTACTTGGAAGCTATTTGGGATGGTAGGATGAGTGAACTATTTGATGGATGGAAGGGAAGGGTATGACACCTAGGAGAATTCGGCCGTACCTTCGATATGTAATTCGGTCCTGAACAGTGCCTTCTAAGGAGGCCACGCGATCTATCCAGGAAGGGCAATTAAGGACGGCCATTCATATGCCCATCCATCAACTTACACTCTCTTACCTTGCATCCTCACTCGGTCTTTACCCCAATCTTTAATCAGGGTTTCAATGGCCCCAGTCAACTTGGATATTTGAGCTGAACCCTCGGATACCCGGATAATCTGATCGTACATCTTTGCCAAAGACCCAGAGTGCTCGGATGACCGATGGAGAGAGGAGTTGAAGGAGGAAGAAGAAGTGAAGAGGGAAGAGGAGGTGACGGACGAGGTTTCTTGAATCGCCGAAACATCCAAATCTCCGCGCAGTAGCCCCTGTACTGGAGAGAGTTGGGAAAGCTTTTCCATAGAGCTCTGCTGGGCTTCCAGGACATCCACGGCCATCCGACAGAGCATACCCCACTCGTCCGCACCTGCCTCATCTGTAATCGGAGGTGATTCCTCATCCCTAATACTGAGAGACAAGTTGCCTTCCTCTACCTTTGAAGGGAGCATGCTATCTACCTCCATCATCTTTGCTTGGTTCAATTCCTTCTCGAGGTCCATCTTTTTTTCTTCGGATCGATCTAGCTTCTCTTGAAGGCTCAAGGCTTCCTCGTTGGCCTGACATAGCTCCTTCTCGAATTCTGAGGCCATTTCCATCCTCCGATCCAACTCTTCCTCAAGGGACAGGGACTTCTCTTTGACTCGATCCAGTTCCTTTTCAAGATCAATGGATTTTTCCTTGGTTTGAGCCACCTCTTTCTTCAGCCGCACAGCCCCATCCATCACCCGGTCTATTAGCACTTCCCACCCATGCTCCACTCCCTTGGTGCCGTCTTGGAAAGCTGTGGGACTTTGAGTCATCAGTTCGTCATTTAGCCTACCAAGTGCTCCCTTTATCTTTCTTAACTCATCTTCTGTACTAGAATACTGTGACTGCAGTGTGGCGCATTTCTCTCGAAGCGCCCCCATCTCCTTCTGGCTCCGTTTTCTTTCATCCTTTTTCTCCTCAACATTATCATCCTTCTCCTTCTCCTCCTCCCCTCCGCTCTCCTTTTTTTCTTCCTCCTCCTCCCCCCCCTCCTCCTCCTCCTCTTTCCCCTCATCATCGTCCACCATATCCTCGCTTCCCTTCTCCTCCCCCTCATTGCCGTCCCTACTCTCGCTTTCCTTCTCATCTCCATCGATGACTGTGTCGGATTCCGCTACAGCCCCTCCTAAATCCGTAGTGGAGCCAGTCCGGGCCTCAAAACCTTCCCGTAGCATGCCCTCAAGCATAGTAATACGATTCTCGTAAGCTCGAAGTCGCTCTTTCATCTCATTCCCCTCATCATACTGGGTCCTGGGTCGTGTGAGGGGTACATACCCTGGGCCCGAGTTAAGAGATGGGGTTCTTGACCTAGGTGAGCTTGTTCCGGAAAAATCCGTCAATCTCGATGCTACCACTGCCCCAGATCCTACTCTTTCCTTGCCTATAAAGCCAAGTAACACAGCATGAGACGAAGAAGGGTCTTTAAGAATGATTGAAAGAGTAGATACGTACCTCGAGGGATGAGTCGATCAAACTCTGAGGACATAGTATCGGCCTGGGTAAGCATCTTGCCCATGGTAGCATGCAGCTTGTTAAGCGCATAGACGGGAGACTCAATGGGCACCCCTTGGTGACCATTGGCCATAGATACTACCTCGGTATCCTGACCAAAGGAGGCACGGATGCGGAAGATGGCGGTTTCAAAGTCGATCAAGTCCTCCCGGGTCAATTCAGGCAAGTCCCTCTCGGCGTGCCTCACGGTCATGTCGCATTCGGGAGGGGGCTCGTCAATCCCTCGAATTTCCATGGGAAGGTACTCACGTACTTCTTGACGGAAGCTATCCCTTCTCTTTACTTCCTGCGACCTCATCCTGGCCAGGGTATCCACAAGGTCTCCGGAGGTCCGCACCAGTAGTCGTCCGTAGTCCTTTCTTCGAACAATCTCCACCAAGCAAGCTCCCTAAAAAAGCAACGAAGATGGTGGGTGGGGCGGATGGGGCTGTAAGGTTTTTCCTCTATATCTCTCGGGAATTCACGTTC